GACGACGAGGAGGAGGACGACGGCGACGAGGACTACGAGGAGGAGGACAACGAGGAGGAGGACGACGACGACGACATGAGCGAAGGGACAATCGTTCACCCTCAACTCGCGGAATTGAACCCGCGAGTGTTGGATAGTGATGTACAGGTGGACAGCGACATAGATTCCATGCTGTATTTATGTCGCTCGCTATTACCTCTAAAATGTCACGAAATCCTAAAGTTGAGAACCGTACCGACGCCGATACTCTCGGTTTTTAACCGCAAACTTACGGCGTACCTCAACAAAAGGGCGCTATTTCCGCAGATGCGTGACGAGGACGACGACGACGACGACGACGACATAGATCCCCGCTCCAACTGGTACGAGACACAAATAGGACTCCTCGATTGCCGTCCGGTCTACATCATCTTCCAAATCGACAGAGACAGTCCGCTGTTGGCGAACGCACCCAACACGACGACCAAAAACGAGGACGGACGTTTGCGTGTCGCCGTCAACGCATTCGTCGATCGTATTATAGCGCACGCGGCTCGACGTCTACCGACCGATTGCGAGACTACTCGCGCCGGTTTTACATACATCAGGTTCGAGGTAGACCGGACATACAATATAATGCGAGAAGACTACGATCGATTCGCCGCTCTCGTGTCCGATCGTATGACAGGATACGACTTACGGCGCAACTGCGGCATGCGTTTCGTCCGTTTCTACGTGTGCGAGCACGGCTTAAGACTTAATAAACTAAACGCGAGACGAAAGATGGATCGTCAATTGGACGTCGATCATGCCGACGTGGACCTGATACAAGTCCATAGAGCCGACACTCTCCGCATCGAGGATGGGAGTGTGATCCTGGTCAAATTGACCAACAGGAAAGAGGGCACGCTCGGCGACGTATTCAGGAACGCCATTACAACCGGACGATTAAACCGTTACCGCACCGGTTTCACAGCGGATTATGGATATTTTGATTATCACGCTTCCCCGACAACGGAATATAACACCGTCACGTACTGCCAGGTGTACTCCTCCGCCGCTAAAATGGCTCGTCCGCAGGACTTTGGCGAAACCGCGGCCCATATAATATGTCACGCGTACGAAGACGGTGCGAGAAGATTCAAGAATTTTCGAAACGAAACGCGACAAAACCTTTTCGATCTGGTGTCCTACGTGTGGAACCACGTTCGCACGGGTCACAGACTCCGGATCGAGGAGGTTTTGACATTGGACAACAAACGCCTAGCGACACCAATGTCGGAAAATTTTACGCGTCTCGGGGTTTTCGACGACGCGACTCCATGTTTAATGACAAATCTCCTCACGCGCCATCGCACCCTTTACAAAATAGAAGCCAAAAGATGGCAAAACGATCTCCTCCTTTTAGGATTGGCTCGCGATAATTACAACACCTCCAACGACGACGGATGGCCGACGTCGTCGTTGATACGCCGTTTTATACGAGCGCAATTTCGGACGTACTATTTTGCACACGGCATATCATATAAATATAATTACGCCACAAAAAACAACATGTTCGCCAACCAACTTGAACAATCGTCGGCCGATCGCGGAATAATAAAGGTGAGACCGCATTTAGACGATACGGACTAGTTTCCGTATCCGATATACGCAAAATCAATACCCTCTCACTTTTTAGTCCCGATACGGCACGTATGGTCCTGCATAATGGGCATCGAGCAGGCCATAGAAGACACCACGGAGGACGAGTTTGAGATGGAGTACGCCGACGAAGTCCTCCGATGCGTGAAATTTTGGTGCACCATATTCGCCGAATGGTCATTCACGCATTTGGTGTCCTCCGTGCCGAGAAACGACGAAGAGATTCGACGTACAAGCGCCGAATTGTACGGCAATTATATAGAAGCGTTCTCCGTTCGGACGTTCCTCCGACGTTGCCGCGAGATTTGGGTGGAACACAGCAGCCTAGCAGTAAGAGTGGCGGATACCACCATCGACTCGGAAACAGTTGTACAAAGTTCTCTATCGCCGAGTAACAATTTTGCCATCATTGCCCGCATGGCACTAAAAACGGCCGGTAACGAGCGAGAATATCAAGAGTCGCTGCGTACGTTCGTCGAGGAAAACGTACAACTGTTTCCGATGTATCTAGTGACGCAAAAATCTCATTATTATCTGTGGAAGGTTGTGAAGAAACGTACCGATACGCCGCGGGAAGTGAGAGAGAAGATAGATTCGATAAAACATCAACTAAGGAGAATACGTCAGGATCGAGAGATCCTATTGGACGAGAACGTCCAAGAAGCGTCGTCGTCGTCGTCGTCGTCGTCGTCGTCCCTTGCTTCTCGTCACGTGGACTCGGCCGGGCCGTCCTCGCCACCGTCTCAGATCTCGGTAACTCGTACCGGAACTGTATTTCGGTCGAGTCGATCAACGTCGTCGTCGTGGTCTCCGACCAAAAGACCGATGAATCGTCCGAGGTTGTCGTCCTCCGACGACTCGTCCGCACGAGACGCGCCAATCGTGGGGACGACGGAACTCTCCGCTTCGTCGACAAACTCCGATATGCCGAATCCACCAAAATCGACGAGACGAGTGTCGCGACGGATATCGTCGGGCGATTCAAGCAACGAAAGTGTTCCGAACGCGGAAGAGATTCCGGAGACCAAAATAAAAATGAGGTTGCGCTATTTTAATAGGCAGCAGGACACCGTGTTATTGAAACACGCCATAACCACGGGCAAGATTGTTAATCTCCATTCGTGGTTATGCCTGAAAAGTATAAAGCCTCTCATTTTTACAAAACCGCGATACACTCCGTCCTGCATGCGGTACAGAGTAATGCAGATAGCTGCGGAATTACACGACGCGGATTTCGGCTTTACCTATAAAGAAGAACTGGACATGCTACGAAAATTGGTCCGCGCGCAAATGAAAAGACGGCTAACGATATAAATCGTAATAGCGATGTACATATGTAACATAAGTAATAACGATGTAATTAAACATAATTTTTTTAATAATAAGAATAACAATAACAAGGGCTCTTTAATTTTTAACACAATATATTCCATTCCTCTCAGCCAATAGAGCCACACGCGATGTAATTACGACAATTAAGAAAGACAGAAAATTTTGGAAACTAAGGAATATGTATCCTAATCATACGCTTTGGGAGTATAAACATAGAGAAAAATATTGATTTGTAAGTGTCTGAATAGCTCAGCTGGAAGAGCAGTCGCCCGGCAAGCGGAAGGTCTCGGGTTCGATTCAGCTGAATTTCGGAACAATATTTTTCTCGCTTATTTCTTTACAGGGGAAGTTAGGAGAAGGAACAAGGAGGAATATCTCAGATCCCAACTATAGGATCATAGGATTCAACTTGTAGACTTAGAATTCCTGTGCGTCAACATTATAGATATGTACAATTACATATATATTGCTAGATATTGCTTAAATTAGAATTCGTTACATCATAGGCGGGAGGAGGGGCGGAGCCCCTCCCCCCTGCACCCCCCCCCCCGACTGCTCCTTTAACCTGGGGGGCTTCGCCCCCCCGAAACCCCCCGAGTTTTCTTTTGGCTGGGGGGCTTCGCCCCCCAGACCCCCCTTGTAGGTACGGGCTGACCTAGGGCGGGTTATGGAGGGCTTCACCCCCCATCAGGGGGGCCAAGCCCCCCCCCTTTATCTACTTCTCTGGTAATACTTCGATTTTTTTCAACACTCCCGTTTTCAGTCACTTTTTCACGCTCCATAAACAGTACATTTTGAACATAAATTTTAAGAATTTCAAAGAAAATGGGGAAAACAATTAAAAATCAAAAAACATTGAAAAAAAATAAAGTATTACAATTGAAACAAAATGGACCAAAAAATTTTAAATATAAATTGAAAAAAAGTTGATGAAACAAAAAAGGTGAGGTCCAAAACGCTTTTCTCGCCATTCTCTATCGACTGGAGTACATCTGTCGAGGTCGATTTTCGAGTCCGCATAGCCTACTGGAACTTGGAAAAATTTAGACGAAAAGTAAAAATTGAGATATCGAAGCGCCACCTGGGCCAAAATTTGATTCGTAAAAAAGTTCACTCGATTATAAAAAAAAAAATTTCGAAAAAAAAAATTCGAGATATCGAAGCGCCACCTGGGCCAAAATTTGATTCGCGAAAAAGCTCACTCGATTATGAAAAAAAAAAAATTTGGAAAATTTCAAAAAGTATGTAATACACCCATAACCCTAACCTAACCTTGATACGTTTACCCGCGGCCCAGGCAAATCCGCCATCACCGCCTGAGATGCTGCCGGCCTACACCTGAAGCACGCTACGCATTCGCGTAACACCCTGCGAACCGCTGAACGTGCCGCCAAGGGCCAATAGCGCTGACGCACCGCGCATATTGTGGCCTGCAGTCCCGCGTGCAAGCTCCTAACGTGCTCTCCTCGAATAATTAGCGTTGTAAGAGCGTGGCTTTTCGGCAGCAGCATGGGGTGCACCGCATCCAGCGGCAACGCCGCCCAGCTTATTCTACCTCCAACGCGAATGACGCCACACTCGTCCATAAACGGTGACAATGATAATATGCGACTCCCGCCGCCGATGCTCCGGCCCTCGCCCAAACTGCGATATTCCCCCGGAAACGACCCGCGCTGCACACAACGCACCACGACTTGCATGGCCGCGGTCATCTCCCGATAAGATATCGATGACCCGATCTCCTCAGCCCGTCGCGTACGACCGAATCTCAAACAATATGATATTATTCGCAATATTTTCTCCAGGCTCGAAAATCTCTCCAATAAACCCGAGACTATCGGTCGATCTCCGACCGCCACGGCAGCGATCACTCTTTTCTGCTCGTGCAGTTCTCCCGATATCTCGATGTTTCTAATCGGCCAATGTCCCTCGTTAAGTCGAAGGTACGCCGGTCCTTCCCACCATAGACCAGACACAGCCAGAGCCGCCAAGTCCGCGCCACGCGATAATATATCGGCCGGGTTGTCCGCGGACGGCACGTGTCGTCAATCCGCGCCCTCGGTCAAGCGCTGTATCTCCCCGACTCGATTCGCGACGAACGCGCTCCATTTTCGCGACAAAGACTGAATCCATTGTAATGTAATGGTGGAGTCCGACCACAGAACCACCCCCGCGGCGGGAAGTCCGACCGACTCTCGAACCTTTTCTATCAATTTGGCCAACAGTAGCGCCGCGCTCAGCTCTAAGCGCGGTAATGATATTGCCCTCATAGGCGCGACTCGCGATTTTGAGACCAATAACCGCACTCGGCATTCTCCGGAGTTGTACGCTCTCACGTACACGCACGCACCATAAGCACGCTCGCTCGCGTCGCAAAAGCCGTGCAGCTGCACACCCCCGGCATCGATCACGCGGCCCACGAAACGCGGCACGCGTAACTCACCGAGATTCGTCAATTGCTGTTTTACTCCCAGCCAACGCGTATGTATGTCCTGCGGCAGCGACTCATCCCATCCGATCTGCGTCTGCCATGTGTCTTGCAGAATTAATTTTGCTACTACCGTCAATGGCCCCAGCAGCCCCAACGGATCGAAAAGGCTCGCGATCTCAGATAAAATTGTTCGCTTGGTTATGCAATTGGCAGGCGATCCGCTCTCATAATCGAATTTAAAACTATCGATAACGGGATCCCACGCAATTCCCAGGATCTTAGAGCTCGAGTCCCCGCCCAGAGACACGCTCGCATCCGTCGCGCCCTCCACGTCCTTCAATAATTCTCGGCAGTTTGATGCCCACCTGCCGAGCTCGAACTTTCCGCGCTTCAGTAGCGCAACCGTCTCCTTGCGTACGCGCCTCACCTCCGACAGGGTGTTAGCGCCGGTGAGCAGGTCGTCGACGTAAAAATCCCGGAGCACGCATCCCGACCTGATCGCGAATTCGTCCGCATGTTTTTGTGCCAGGTGCTGAAGGCACCTGGTGGCCAGGAACGACGCCGAACTCGTACCGTACGTGACCGTCAGCAATTCGTATTCGCCGATCGGCGCCCCCGAGTCCTCTCGCCACACTATCCTGTGCAGATGCGTCTGCGATTCGTGCAGCAGTATCTGGCGATACATTTTGATTATGTCCGCCACGAAGACATATACGAATGTTCGAAAACGCATTAATATTGTTATCAATTCTTGTTGAATCACCGGACCTATTCGCAAAGCCTCATTAAGCGAAACTCCCGTGCTGGTTTTGCACGAGGCATCGAAAACCACGCGTAACTTCGCGCATGGACCGGTCCCCTTTATTACTCCGTGATGCGGCAGATATACAGGTTTACCCCCGATCGACCTTGCAGGTGCGACTCTCATGTGCCCCAACGATTGATATTTGCGTAAGAAATTTGCGTAGGAGCGCTTCAAACCCGGGTCGCGGTTGAGCCGCTTCTCGAAGATAATTTTTCAATTTGAGGTACTTAACAATTTTTTATTCAAAAGCAAAGCAAATGAGAAAATAAGAAAAAGAGACTAATTTCACAGAGATAAATAAATATCAAGTTATTAATACACGAACAATTGCTTTCTCTAATATTACAGATAAGAAGTACCTTCGCATTGTGTAGCACAGCTCTGACTAAGCAGAACAATTGTCTCTGCCCAGTGCTGAGATTACTACCACCTTCATCCAAGACTGCATCCAAACCATCCAATCGATGAAACAAAGAATGCACTTTACATTTCTCAAAGGTTTTGTATATATGTGCATATAGGTATACTGATCCAACGGATCCACATTCTCTCGATTAGTACCCAAGATAAGAAACGGATTCTGAGGTATAATTGCTAAATGGGATCTGGAATGTTTTTCTTTTCTTTACAACTGTTAACATACAATAATTATTTTTTGCAAGTTTATGAATACCTTAATGTGTTCAGTTGTAACGTTTGAATATTCACGTTGTCGATTAATATACTCCCAGAACTGATCTCTGTCAGTCTAAACAACGAAGATAGGAACAAACTTTTTCCAGCACCGGTGCGACCAACGACGCCTATTTTTTCCGCTGGTCGAGTAACGAATGTTATCTCTTTCAACGATGGCACTAAATGGTTCCTGCAAATATAATTACAAAAATTTCTTTTACCAAATGTTACAATCGTGCATTATCTTTATCAAAAAATTTGAAAATATTACCTGTACATCAAAACAACTTCTTTAAATTCCACAACACTTTGACTAGGCCACGCGTAAGGTTGATTAGTGTCCATTGTATTTTCAGTCGGCACTTGATCTAAATACTGTTTAACTCGTTCCACCGTAATCTCTCTATCTGTCTCAGTAACACCAGCGCGATGACGCGACACGCGATATGCGACGAATCGCGAGAATAGGATTTTCTACCTATTCATATAAACGCGATGCGCGATTACGAAACCTAACATCATTTATTGCATATTTACCATTTATTGCAATTCTATAATTTAATGACAATATCACTCTCGGATCAATGTCGTTGCACGTTTATTTATGACCACAGAGATCCTCTTTGTTTATAACGACATCGCATCTATAGATAGGATCGCAGTAAATCGCTCGTCGCGCGCTACAAATCTTCAAACTTGGTCAACTTTTTTGCGATGTCGCACTCTATAGTGCGACGGATATAACGTGCGAAAAAGCTGTACGCTCATTGGATATCGCGCATCGCGTGTCGCGTCATCGCGTTGGTGTGCAGGAGCCATAAAGGTGCCTTTACATGGTAGCATCAAGCGTCAAGCATCTACGTTTGCGCAGATGTCACATAAGAAAGAAAATAGCTTCTTGTGGCTAATAATATTAATAAATATAATAAATATAATGATTATAATTAATATTATATTAATTTTCAGTACTAATATGTGCTAATATTCATTTGATCTCGACTTATTCATTGTATGATCTCGTATGATTCATCTTATTATTAGCAGCAAGAAGCTGAAATCTATTTTATTTAACATTTGCGCAATGAGTTTTTGCGCCGACACGTTTGATGCTATCATATAAAAGCATCTTTATATCCAAATAATCCAATAGGATCGCATTGGAGCGAGAAGTATGTTGGGGGGGAGCCTGCTATGCGAACAAACTTATAATTTGGCGGGACCGGCACCTTCCATATTTATTAGCAATATTGCATAAGAAATTGCGTAATATATATAAGATTTCGGTTTACATTTAATGAAAATCTTTTCGTTTCGTTTGTACGCGATTGCATCACATTAAGTGAAAAATGTCACGATATATATTATTTTTTTGTAATTATCATAAATATCATGTAAATATAAAACACAAGAGAAGACGCGTAAAATGTCCAGTTAGGAATCGTAAAAAAACATGTATTATACGTACAATTGCACAGAATAGTAAGTATCACCATTCTATATTTATTTAAAATAATATAAAATGTTTTCATTGCAATAATATTGTTAATATTGAGCACAACAGCACGTAACCTTTTTATTCGATTTTTAACAGGTTAATATTAACTTAAGTCGTAAAAATCTAAAGTTTTTACTTAGCACTGCTTTTTAATTTTCTTTTCAGTTAAATTCTTGCATCAACGCGTTAATTTCTGGTTATTTATATATAAATAATTGAAATTACTATATTTATTGTTACAGAAAATAAAAATGATCTTCTTGCAATTGCTAAAAGTTTAAATACAAATAATCCACGTATTGCTCTGAAAAACATAAAATTAATTGTCAATAATAATAATAGTAAGTATTACAGTATTATAATTCTAAAACTACATGCAATATATTGCATTTCTATTTTTTACAGTAATTATACTTTTTTTGTAGAAACTACAGAAATACCACAAGATGCTTGCATTATCAATATGAACTATACTAAAAAGAATACTAATACTAACAATTTATATAATGCTATTGATTTTGACAATAATGTAGTATCATTTCTTTATAATGGACAAGGCCACAATGCAAATGATCAAAGTAACATCAATTATCTTATAAAACACGTTGATTCTAATAACGGATTTAAAACGAAAATTATTGGTAATACTGATAATTTTACAAATAATAATGCCGATAATAATGGAAATGATAGCATTGTAGATAATATTAATGACAATAATTCTGCGAATAGTACTGATTTTGATAACAACGGGACATTTTCTAATGAACATGATCACACTGCAATAAATGATGAAAATTGTGTAACTAATAATTCTAACAAAATTGTTGGTTGTGATAATGCTATGATAATTTCTAGTGAGTCTAATAATGAGCAGAATAGAATAAAGGCTACTAAACTTAACATTACATTTTCCTGTAATGACAGAAATCATAATGTAGTAGATAGCACTATTAATGCTAACAGTTCTGCAAATGATACTGATTTTGATAATGTGATACTTTCTTATGAGAACAATAATGGTTGCAAAACAGTACATAGTGATATCAATAATTCTACGAATGATAATGATCCTAATATTGATACATCATGTTCTAATGAACATGATCACAATGCAATAAATGATGAAGGTTGCATCACTAATAATTCTAACAAAATTGTTGGTTGTGATAATGCTATGATAATTTCTAGTGAGTCTAATAATGAGCAGATTAGAGTAAAGGCTACTAAACTTAACATTACATTTTCCTGTAATGACAGAAATCATAATGTAGTAGATAGCACTATTAATGCTAACAGTTCAGCAAATGATACTGATTTTGATAATGTGATACTTTCTTATGAGAACAATAATGGTTGCAAAACAGTACATAGTGATATCAATAATTCTACAAATGATAATAATCCTAATATTGATACATTATGTTCTAATGAACATGATCACAATGCAATAAATGATGAAGGTTGCGTCACTAATAATTCTAACAAAATTGTTGGTTGTGATAATGCTATGATAATTTCTAATGAGTCTAATAATGAGCAGAATAGAGTAAAGGCTACTAAACTTAACATTACATTTTCCTGTAATGATAGAAATCATAATGTAGTAGATAGTACTATTAATGCTAACAATTCTGCAAATGATATTGATTTTAATAATGTGATATCTTTTTGTGATAATAGTAATGGTTGTAAAACGGTAGATAGTAATATCAGTATCAATAATTCTACGAATGATAATGATTCTAATATTGATATATCACTTTTGTGCAATAATAATAACATTAATGCTAATAATTCTAAGAATAACTGTGAGTTTGATAATAATGTGATATTTTCTTGTGATGATGACAATAACTGTCATGTAAATACTGATATTGATATTAATTTTATGAACAGTAATAATTATCATAATAATAATCTGACATTTTCCAGTGATAATGACAATTTCAATGTGTCTGAAACGGGTATTGTTCTCAAAGATGTCATGATATTTCCTTTTAACGATGATTATAATTCTAGTATCTTAAATGATCTCACTAACGCCAAAGCTTCTATAAATTATAATAATAGTGATAACAATATGATTTCCTGTGATGATGAAAATATTAACGACAACATTGCTTGTGCAAACACATTAAGTAATGATAGTTATAATAATATGATTTCCCGTGATGATATTAATGACAATATTGCTTCTGCAAACACATCAAGTACTTCGGAATATCTACCTTCAGCATCGGAAATTACAATTGAAAAAGAAATTACGGAACATGAAAGCTTCCGCAATAATGTTTCTGCAACTAATGATAAAAATTCTTCAGAATCACTGATAAATCTTTCTTCTATCAATACATTTGGTTGTAGAGAAGACAATTTATATGTTCCATTTTCTCAACCTAAGGGACATCAAAAAAAAATTTTTGCTACTATTGCAAAAAGTTTCAGAGTAAAATTGCACGTCATTTAGAAAACGTGCATAAATTGGAACCTGAAGTAAAGAAATTTGTATTATTACCAAAAGGTGATCATATTTTTCAATTCTGTATAATTATTTAAGTTTATAGTATATTTTTTTATAAATATTGATTATTTGTTAAATATAATATATTAATATGTTATAATTTTTATTAATATATTTACATTATATATACATTATTTACATTATATATACATTATTTACATTATATATACATTACTTAATATTCTCATTGCAGGTAATTTAGAAAGAAAACAAATTATAGAGTCTATTAGAAAAAAAAGGAATTTCATACATAATACGGATCCTTTCTTAAATACGGGAGAATTAATTGTTTGTCGAAGGCCTGCCAAAAATAGTTGCAAAACAGTACAAGATTTTATAAGTTGCGCAAAGTGTAAAGGATGGTTCACTAAAAATAATATCAGGCATCATTTTAAAGAATGTGTAGGAAAATCGAAAGGCAGAAATGTA